CGTGCGAATAAGACGCAATTTCGGGCTAGTTCGAACACACTTTCTTCTCGTGGTGGAGGTGGCGGCGGCGGCGGCGGCGGTGGTGGTGGTGGTGGTGGCAGCAACAGCAGCAATGTGGGTGGAGGTGTCCAGCCGTCTCACAGTCAAACACAACACGCGGTGATGCAAGGTAGTGGCAGCGGTGGCGCATCGTCCCTAGGTGCACCCATTCCTTGTCACACTTCAGGAAGTGGTGGGATGTCGCATGTTTCGCCCTCCTTTCTTTCTAGCTGTCTTCTTGCAAACACCAACAATGCTTTCGGCCAGACTCATATTGGGCATCGATTCTGTCCTTCCACCCGAAATCCATCTCATTTTGTACTTTCAGTATAGATCGCTTGCCGATCATTGGTCATTATGACTTCTACTTTTCCTGGAAATCGGAGCTCTTATATAACCGATCGCAGCTCTGCGGCTATGGTAGGCTTGGCTTTTAAGTCGTTTTTGGTCGTTTCTTTTATGTTGTCTAACTCATTGTGCTTAAATGCTCGTATACTTTACAAAGATATGGACGTTTGTTTAATTACCAGAAATGCATTATAGGAATCCAATTTCAACTCCTCAGATCTGGACCAGAACAGTAACATGGTTACTGAGTCCTCTCGAAATGTTCTTTCATTGGCAACATCTGCTGTGCAGGAGGCTGTGACTTGTCATTCACTGACTTCATTTGACACACTCTTTTTGCCTCAGCCACTTCAAGAGTTTGGCTTTTCTTCCCATCTGACTGGTTCCCATGCCTATTCTTCAAGCTCGCCTTATTCGATGCATGGCGAGAGTTTGGAGAGCTTGTCATTGCCTCGACTGTCATTGCTCACGGAGGACCCTTTCTCGCCTATCTCAGAGTCGTTTTCATCTCCTTATCACCCCCAACTCCTCACTTCTGTGAGATCTGATCAACCTATATCATTGGTAATCATGAGTGCTTCGTTATTCATATCTACAATTGCTAATAATGACAATATGTCACGAACGCTAGTCATAATCATTATTGTGTTGTCCTTCTCAATTGAATTCTAGTTTCTGCTTGGTAGAATATCATGAATTTCAGAATCTCTCAGATTTATTGATTTAATTGTCTGTGTTTCGAACAATAGATGGCGCGAATTCCATCGCCACTGGACTCAATCCTAAATACTTACTTGCCACTATCAACTCGGCCGTCATCACCGTTGTCATGGTCACCTTCTGATTTGGCAGGAGTGACTTCGTCTCCATCCTCGCCAATTCAGCACATTTCGTGTCAGCAAACGCAACATTTGCACTCGCTGCAGGAGCAGCAAGGGTTAATGTCATTCCACGGTCTTCAAATGCATAATTTCACGACTTCTACAGAGCTTGTATATTCCTGTCGTGACACAGTACCGACAGTGCTCATGGTATGCCTTTCACTTGGGCTATTCCTAAATCATCGTAGAGGTGTGCTTGGGTTCGAAAGGCATTTGCCATGGATTTTACCTTTTTTTCCTCTCAGTTACCGGAGAATTGTGACCAAGTCAAGACTTCACTGCACCTTCCGGTCCCTTCAGTTGTGCGGTGCCAAACAGGCCCTCTTTTGCCAGTGTCTGTTTTTTTGTCAAATAAGAGGTACTTTGAAAGTGGGAGTCAAGGTATTAAGCCAAATGAGAAAGGAATAGCTAGGCCATTTAGACAACAGGAGGAATGGCATCCACTGTCCATTGCTAAGGGATCACAAATAGAGACGACTGTGACACCTCCACAATCTGTACTGCCAATTGTCCAAGCTGAGGGTGAGAGGAAACGTCAGAAGCTGCGACAAATCCTCGCAATCAGGATGAAACAGAGGCAACTGGACGCTACAGTTCGGAAACAGCAACTGCAATGTCTTGCATCCACGAAGAGAGGCTTACACTCGGCGACAACATTACCGCCTTCACAATCCGCACTGTCAAGTATCCAAGCTGAGGGTGGGAGGAAACGTCAGAAGTTGCGACAAATCCTCGCAATCAGGAAGAAACAAATGCAACTAGACGAAGCAGTTCGGAGACAGCAACTGCAGTCTCTTGCATCCACAGAGAGTGGCTCACAGTTGGGGATGACGGTACCGCCTTCACAATCTGCACTGTCAAGCATCCTAGCTGAAGGTGAGAGGCAGCGGCAGAAGCTGCGACAAATCCTTGCAGTTAGGTTGAAACAGAGGCGAATGGCTGCTGCTGGTCGGAATAAGAAATCAGCTTAACCAAGTCGTGGTTATTTAAGTCAACTGCTTCCGACATCGGCATCGTTGCTAACATATGTCCATCCGGAGTCTGCGGAGCGCATCAATCGTGTGCCTCGCTCCTTGAGTTTGTTGCATGTCTTTCTGCTACCTACGAACCTTGGAATCATCCATGACTTTTGCACTAGATTCTGTTGGACTGATTTTTATTTTCCTCTTTTCAATCCAGTGCTGATACTGTTTGTATAATAAAAATTGGTTTTATTCCCTCCACTTTTTTTGGAAAATATAGCCTCGAAATCATTGTAAATGCTATCCGTGCAGTTTCCATTTGTCAAGAGTAAACCTGTCCGTCTGTCGCGTTCTGTTTGAATGTTACCCTTTTTTTTTTTGTTATTCATTTTACTGTTGTCTTGAGCCTTTTGAGGATAAGCTGTGTTAATAAATTTTTATGTCCTCTTGAGGCACTGCAAAGGTGGCTTTGAGAGAGGGAGCTACTTTATGATGTTGTGATGGCCTTCTCCCTGCATGTTGGTGACATGCTTCCCCTCGCTCCATTCGGAATTCGTACTGTATTGAAGGCTGGACGCTTTGTTGTGTGGCGTGGCCTGCGGGCCAAGTCGAGGCTCCACGTCATTTCCTACCCTCTGAAAACAAGTTTTCTGCCACAATTAATGCCTTCCACCAACTGGAAGGTCTGCTAATGTCACACTAGTGGCAGAGCAAAGCCAATTCGACTTTGTTACCACTTCTATTTTGCTCTCCATTCCTTGTGACAAACTTATGCGGTGCGAATGGCGTGTACTTACCTCGGACGGGAGAATGTCTAACAGAAGGACAAAGAACGTCCTCTGTGTTTGGCTGTCGCTCAATCTACGTGTTCTGTTGGCGAGCGGAGATCATTCAAATTCTAATATTTCCCATACCGAGTCTGCGTGTGGAAGTCGACGGTGAGATTACGCTGAACTGCCTTCAACACAGGACTTTGTTTAGTCCCATTTTTTTTTATTAAGCAGCTGTTTTAGACCAACGCTCCTATTTTTGTCTTTGTACATAACTGATGCTCCACAGAAGTATGCATCCTGATTTTCTGCCTCCAGCTAATGTCTGGCTCGGTTGCGTCGTGGGCGTGTTCTGGCAGCGCCGAATATGCAGGGTGTGTCGGGGAGAGCGTCGAGGGCGTGGCTCAAGAGAAGAGAGGCGCAATGTAATGTCTTGTTTATTCGAGTATCGGCACAATTGGCGTCCTCTTTTGATTATCATTTTGCTCTTGACTGTGAAGATCCTCGTACAATGCCTTCGCCTTCCCTTTGGTAAGCCTTGCCACATTTCTCTGCTTGTGCTTGTCCTTACAACCTGTTCTTTTCAAGTGCTATTGCCATAAAGCCATGCGATGTTAAACTTGTATAATCAACCCACCTCTTAGCTGGAAGTACCACAAAGGAGAACTTATCACCACTCCTCCTCTCTCAAGCCAAGTCTTTTTTTTTTTCATGACACGATTTCTGTTGAAAATCGTTTGTCCTGAAGTAACTCAAAGTAGGAACACATCGAGAGCTTTGTCTTGCATACATGTGGAATGCTTTTAGGCATGAAAAACTAGGTTTGATGATCTTTCGAGGTGGTGTGGATACTACGGGAGGGATTATTAGCACATCAACAATTTGTTCATGCAAAATACAAATGTATGGTTTGTTTGACCACCAAAGCCAGTTGCAGACTCGAGCGGCCGTAATCCCTCTGTCGGATGGGCTGGTCTTTGGGCTGTGCCATAAGGCCATCCCCTATTCAATCAATGTGCTATGCCTTTTAGCATTCATAGGGGAGTCTTGACACCTTGACTCTCGACTCGTGATCCATTTCCATCCTCGTTCCCCTCAGCCACTGTGGATTCTTTCTCGCTCATCTCCCTATTGATCCAAGTTCCCACTTTCACGAGCATGGAGGCCTTCATTCCTCTCAGCATTGTATCAACGCTGGTGCCGCTTGTCTGGATATCTTTCCTCCCATTCCTACTTTAGAGCAATGTCCACTGAACCTCTGCCTTTGAAACTGTGTCAGAAACGCAAATGGAGTAGATGTGCTGTTGGAGTCCTTTTGGATTGTCATTACCGTGGACTAGCTTCTGGCACTAAACATTTTTGGACTTGTGTCTTCCTCTACAATTGCAAACACCAACAGTTCATATGTCAAGGGTCTCTAAAACCTTACACTGTAAGCCATTACTGGAATACCCAAAGGAGTCGCTATCATTGTCTCAGGCTTATGCTGAAAAGGGGTATTGGCAGTTTCCAGCCATTCAAAGAGGCAAATTAGGTTTGCATTTCAGCTGCAGCCGTTGGATCAGCAGCATCATCCATCACAATCACTGCATGATTTCAACCTTGTACACCGAGTGGACCATAAACAGCAAAGAAGGAATCAAAAAGTCGGCACTAATGCAATTCAGCACCAATAGCTGCTCCTCTATGCGCAAAAATTCAAGCCATTGCTACCACTGCCAATGAGTTCACAATCTATTCCTCAGCTCTACCCCCTGAGAATGAGTGTCTGACACCCATTTTGAACCCATGTAATGAGGAATGAAGGACAAAAGTCGGAGGATGGACTTCATAAACAGCCATTGTATCACCTATTCGCCTCGGGAGCTTCACAACACGAGTGTCTCTCTGTACATCCGAAAACGGGCGTCAGCAGCCTCTTGAAACCACTGAAATGAAGAGTGAAGGAGAAGGACTGACGTCTACAGTTAAACATTCGCATTTGGATCAACAGTATCGCCTCTCTACTTACAAAAGTTTAAAAGCTGAGTCATCGCCACCATCTCTACCAACTTCATTACGAAGTAGTCAAAATACCAGTGACGGTGACTGTCAACAGGCATTTCAGCTTAAAAAAAGAAACATTGCAACATGGTAATCATTTGGATAAGAGTTTTCATTAACTTTGTAGCAAATCTCATCGTTATCAAGAAATTGATGCTTTGATCCGCAATGATATTGGAAATTAGAGGCTTCCGGCAGTTTACTTTTGCAGATGCTGTCTCCAAATCAACTAGATATTACCAATTTTTTTACCGATGTTAAGGTGTGATGGAGGGCTCATGGTCGTTTCTAGCTTCATTCTGTGCGTCTGAAACACTACCAGTCATAAACTTCTCGGGGATCGCAACAGTTGTCGACACTGTCTCCATCTCCACCGACTTCACAACACCCATACTAATGTTTCAAGGGGATGGAGCGCCAACAGTTGCGTTCCAAAGTCTCTGTGAGTAGGATGGGATGAAGTCACCTTTCTCCGGTAGTTTAGGAGCTTTTGTAGTTGCAGCCAATGCCTCCATGTCCACCGACTTTACAGACTCCATACCGAGCATGCAGTGCTATGGAGCGTAACTGTCATCTGCAGAAGACCCTGCCGGAAGGATGCCATGAAGGTATCGTCCTTCTGTACGTCTAGCCACAGCAATCTTTCACTTCCAGTCTTTGCATTCACGGACGATTTCTTCAACTCAGCCGACTTAACAATCCCCTTGCCAATGTTGAAGTGTGGTGGAGCTCCATTGGTGGACTTTGGAGACGCCTGCAAAGAGACTGAAATGAAGGCATCTTCCTTCCTTCCTTCTAGAGCAGCAGACACTGCCTCCAGCAGCACCCACACCACTGTTGCAGTCGTCCAAGTAAGTCACTGCAAGTAAGGTAAAATGAGGCCATCTTTCTGTTGTGCGTCAGGAACAGCGGCCATGATCAACTTCTGACTGCTTACAGTCGCCTATACTGCCAATTTTGTAACTCTCATATCAATTTTGGGATGTGATGGAGCATCAACATTCACCTCTACACCTCCTTGCGAGGAGGGTAGAATAAAGATGCCTTCATCCTCCTCCATTAGTTCACAGTCACAGCCACTGCCTTCATCTCCATCGACTTTGCAACTCACGTACTCATCTTGCAGTCTGATGGAGTACTGAGTGCTTCCACTAGTTTGCACAAAGTAGTTCACCTCGAATGCAACAGCAGCATCAGGAGCAAGTGGTGCCTCATCCCATGGGTGGGTAGCGTCGGATGCTACGGGCATTTGACTTGATTGGCATGATTGTGAGGACGAGCATTACAGTCAACAATTGGATGTTTTGGTATTGTAGGTCAGACCCAATTTGAGACGGATCATCAGTACCATCCGTCACCGTCTTCGGCGGAGGTGCATCAACAGGCAGCAAAAGGGAAGTCATCGCAACAGTTCTATGCGTCACAAACGCATCGTCAGTCCCCATTGACACCAGTTGGCCAACAGACAGTGTCAAAGTCGCAGCAGGAGGAGGGATCGACGAACATGGGAACAGAATCGGTATCCACTGGCGGTTGTTACTCAGGCGATGCGGAAGTGGTGAGTGGTGGTAGTGGAGGCGACGACTAGAATCGACTGGCACATCTCAACTTTGTGCATCCACCTCTGAGGTCATTGTGACCAAGCGCTGTTCAGACAGCAGGCGTTGAATCCGCCTTTTCCATAGTCAACATTGCATTCTCAACGCCGCGCCTCCCCAATCCACTTTATAACATCTCGAGACCACACCTCAGACAGTAGAGGCAGAGGGAGAGGGACTGATTGTTGACTTCACTCTAGAGCCATTCCTTGTAACTCGGAGCAAGAGGAATATCACAGGAACCGCCAATCATTCAGGTGGACAAGTCAGCTAAGTGTTACCGGCTTAGCTTAGTTTTCTTTCCAAAACCTACCGTGACAATCACCGCAATCCACAGAGCAGTTTGGAGGGTGGAGTGAGTAAAATTTGAGGTTTGTCGATTGTGGTGGTTTGATGCATGCCTGCTGTGTATGAATCGTGGAACACTCTCCACTTTTGTCCACAAGAGGCACAGTAGAATTTTATGTCACTTGCATCCATTGGCTTAGGTTTGTCTTGTAATGCCTGTTGTTATTTTCTCGTTGTTTTGTTTTTTTTTCTTGCGATTGACTCCCCCTTTATACTTGAAATGCTGGAGAAAAGAAAACCTTGGACTGTAATACCATGTTTGTTTAAATACTTGGCCCTACTTACGGTGACTTTTGATGGCTGTCTTGTTAGTAGCTGTGTCCAAAGCCAATTCTCTCTTCCTTCGCCTTGAACACATGCATTCAATCCTACTTAATGCCCTTCTCCACTTGGTGGAAGGTGTCAGGACGTTACAACGAAAAGTCAATTAGACTGTCTTACGACTTCTCCATAACAGGCGTTTAACAGCGGTGTCCGAATTCGTGTTTCAGCACCACGAACCATTTTGAGTGATTTCATTAGGGATTTTTGGTCATCAAATTCATGTGTAGATGTCATTGATGGTGTTTCCCTGAAGCCTCTTCTACGCGAAAATGGGTTTGATTCCCGTGTTTCCTGTCTTGCATTGTGTATTAGACCACTGGCACGATGACACTCCGTGGGCACAAGTTCTTGCTTCTGATTTCTGTTGTTTGGCTTCAACGTTGCTTCACCTCCAACTGAAGCTGCTGTGAGGCCTGCGAATAGCCCTTCAGCCTCACCGAATTGGTTATGATGGCTGGAGCGAGAGTTGTACCGACAGCAGCGCCATGGACGTTGGTTAGAATGAGGGGAGCAAGTTAATGTTGTGTTTATTTGTCTTTGATATTCAATTTTCTCTTGGCTGCAGGTCACTAGACTTCACTGCATAGTGAAGCTCAATCTCTTACCCTGTTCGACAATTAGTCTTGCAGTCCTGGGACTTTGCATGGCTCTTTGTCAAACATGGAGATCACTTCACTCTTTACAAGCTTGTTTTCAGCAAACAGAAAGTGAAATTATTTATTCGTAGTCACCAGCTGCTTTGGAACGTGAGTGCTTGTGTCACGTCGACGACACTGAATTTCCTTCACGTCATCCACAGAGAGGCACAACTTTTAGGCACTAATGAAGCTGATCACTTTGAGAGATTCTTCAAGTCATTTGCACAGAGCTATCAAACAAGGACTACTGAAGTGTACAACTGGCCTTTGGCTTTGCAAAGTTGTCCATTAAAGGAGGAAGTGTGTCTCTTTGCTCCTCCTCAATAGGCTGGAAATCGAAAACTCAGGCAAGTAGATGTGGCAGGAAAGGAGAGGTAGAGGTTTGGTGACACCTTTCCTGTCGATAGCATGAAATTTGCGAGGATTCTGCCAGTCTAATGCAGGGCGCAGGTTTGCTTTTTATCGAGGTCTCAGGGACAAGCTGTCGTGGCCTGAAGGTGCAAGTGTTCTTTTGAGATTGCAAGACTTACTCTCAAACTTGTTGGAGCAAATCTGTTCTGCAGATCTGTAGAGCTTTCTGATCCGGAGTAAAGTGGTTCGTGGAAAGTTGCTGAAAGGACAGCGCCATGTGGGTTTTGAAGAGGCATCCGGCTGACTGGAATGAAAAAGGAGCCAGAAATCTTGACGTCACTTGCAGCAACGACTGGAACACTTCAATCACCTTCTCCTGGGATCCTGTAGAATGGAGCTGATTTTGACATTATGAATGCTCTTCAACTCATCAAGATGGTGCTAGAACCAGTCACTTCAGTGCATCAGTCAGACGAGAGCAGTCAAAGCAATGCGCTTCTTGTTGGCGATAGGGTTGACGAAGCTCATGATACTTGGAATGAAGAAATCACTTTATGACTGGATTGCTGAAGGCGTTTGCGGAGAATGCATGAGCGAGAAGCAGAGATTTGGACGTAAACGCGTCCTCATACTTAATGGCGTTTTGGTGTTTGAGATGCTCAACTGTCATGATATGGAAGTGCCTTTCAATACCCCGTTTTGCAAAAGAAGGAACTCGAGACTGAACTGAATGCTGCAATCTATTGTTCAAAGTTAAGGAAATAAGATGACTTATATACAAAAGGAAGAAACATAAATGAAGAAGAATGACAAGCTGATCTACAGACATAAAAGGGATTAAACCAGTGGGGTGTCACGCCACCCCTTTCTTCTTTTAAGCGGTGTTTACTGTGGTTTCGTCGGTGCACCTCCACCGCCTTCTACCTTGACGTGAGCAGTGCTTCAGGAAGACAAACACGAAACCTCAGCTCGTAAGAGACCGAGGAATTATACTTGGCCATCTCGACCGCTTGATCTGGACCTGCATTTAGGCTTGTTTTTAGACGAAATTTAAGCGCATGCTTCGCTAATACAATTATTGTGCTCTGAGAGACATTAAAGCAGCAATCTAAAATAGAGTGCATAAGAGGAAATTTGGATCAAACACGGTCCATTGAGGAAGGAAAGCTCGGCATATTGTCACATCTGGCACTACGCGTACAGACATTGTAAGTAGGACTTCAAAAGAAATTTTTCTTGAGTGGTTCACAGCAATGGCGCTGTTTAGTAATGACTTGTTCATGTGGCAAGGGAATTGGGTAGAGCCAAATTTAGTTATCATTTTCAATCCATCGATTGTTCAAGCTTCGATGAGTCCCCTTCCCTCATTAGGTATGCTCTTCCACCACACAACACAATGATGTCACAAATAACGAACATCGGAATAACAGAGAGTAAGGTAGCCGGATTTACTAGTTGCCGCTTGTAATGCTTTGTTTATGCGACTATCTGACGTTTGGCGGTCACTTTAGAACTTGCCTAGGTCCAGTACG